AAACCCCGCCAAGAGTGCTCGAAATGCTCCAAGAGCAGTGAGCGTTGCACAAGGCGAGCGGCAAGGGTTCGCGCTAGGGTAAGAGTGCTCAACCTAACGACATTGCTGACGCTAGGGAGCATAATACTCAAATCTGTGGACAGCAACTGTTTCGCTCTGTTAGAGCTCCTCAGCACAGCTCAGAGGACCGAAGCGCAGCTCTTTGCAATGAAATACGTTTCCGTGAATCAAAGCATTTTTATAAAGAGCTGCAAACCCGGCCAAGAGTGCTCGAAATGCTCCAAGAGCATATTTGTCGTCACGGGTTTGAGAACCGTGAACGAACTGCCTCTAGGCTCCTCGCCACGCCACACAACACAGGACTAGTGCAAATTGTTAGAGTACTTTTCTTCTACTTCATTTCAGTAGGCGACTGGGGAACTCATAAAGAAGAACGAACACTGACAACGAACGACTGACGACTGACACTGAGACAAGACTAGACAACAGAATATATTAGATTGAAGGCGTACAACGGGGACAAGACGAGCAAGTGTGTACCACCGGGGACAGAAGACGGTGCAGCCGCATGTACGCAGGAGTCAAAAACAGCGCAGCAGCATGTACCACGACTCAGCAGCATGTACAACAAAGAGACACAAAAGCAGCCACATGTACGACAAAGAGCTACACGTGCAACCGCATGTACAACGAAGAGACACAAGCGCAGCCACATGTACAACACTATCCCCCACCAAAAAAAAACATCCGCTCCTGTGGATGGAAGTGTATATATATATAAAAAAAAACAGAAGAAGACAGACCGGAGAAGAAGACAGAAAGACCGGGGAAATGAAATGTGGAGCAACATAAACAGGCGACAATAAAACAGAAAAGAAGTGTGGTCACAACAGTTGAATGCATGACGAGTAGGCCAGGAGGGTTAACACCAGTCGGGAGCCCCGCAAAACTGTGCATCAATCAAACGGAACCTGCAAGCAACAGATTTTGCAGAGGACCCCGGCTGGCGAGCTGTTCGACCTGTAGTTGTCCCTTTGGATCTTGATTATTTGAACAGCACCAACCTAGTACGCCACCCACCCAACAGTCAAGACAAACAAAAAGTACACAATGCATGAGGAAACAGGGTTAAGCCGACGGACCCAGCGACGCTGCCAAGAGCGGCGAGACCGACAGCACGCACCGACCGAGAAGAAGACTGGGGCCGCAGGACGCACACTGGCCGGCTGTCCGAAAACCGATGGCGCTACAGAAACTCCGAGAATCACAGGACACACACAGAAAGAGAGAAGGACTGACGCAAACATCTCAGCCATCACCAAAAATCAGAAAAGCACACGAAGGAAGGGAAGAACAGCCAGGAAGAACACGTTGACTGAAACAGGAGCAATTAATCAGTGAGGACACCATTGAGGACACACAAACAAATCGGTTACCAATACGCAAAAGATAAAGAAGAAAAACCACAGGGCGCTACCCTGAAAACCCACAGGTCTCTAACCTGAAAAAACCCACAGGGATTGAACCTGAAAAAACCACAGGGATTGAACCTGAAAAACCCACAGGGATTGAACCTGAAAAACACGGAACTACATCCGCTTCGCAAAACCAAAAAACCGAGACAAAAACTGTCAGGGACCGACTGGGGCACGCAAGGGCCAACCAGCAACACGCGGAAACCATAACACCCGCAAGGCAAACCGATACAACAAAACACAGGATCCCTGCAGACCACCAGGCAGACCGTGGCTCACCATGATCAGACGCCCACCCAAACGAACTAGAGAGACCCACATGCCGAAACACAATTATTACAAAGCCATACGCTCACAAAAAAATTCAACCTGGATCCGAAACGAGAATCCTACATGAAGTTCACACCTCCCACCAAACCGGAAGCCACCAGCTTTCCGACTGGGTGCACAGTGCATGACCGAGCCTGACAACGCTCTGCACGGAACATGGAGAAACTACTGCTACTACTAGTACTAGTGAAACGGTAGAAACACGAAACAAAATATGGATCGACTACAAACGAGGCAGCACCTCGAGAACGTTCAGGTGGACATCCAAACAAATCACGCGACACAGTCACAATATCGGAGCAGTCCGACGGCAACTCCGTGACAAGCACAAGTGCACAACACAAGACGAGATCAAAGCTACCCATGCTGAATTCACGACGAGCAAGCAAAAACAAGTTCCAGATTCGAACGCGTAGCACACGAACAGAAGTTTGAAAATTTCATACACACAACCGTACAGTACAGGGTAGTCAGAGCGACACAGGAACAACGAACACAACGGGGCAAACTTACAACGAGCAGCTAGACTACACTACACACTCGAGCACAAGAGAACAAGGTTCCACGGACTTCCTGCCGGGACCCGAGTCACCCGACGCAAAACAATTTGAAAAATTCGAAATCGAATACAAGTTAGTTACGGCCACACAGTACGCAGAGCAGACAATTACAAAGGCATTCTCACCTGAGTAGGCGCTCTCATGAGAGGCTTGGACGTGCGTGAGACTCAAGTAGCTGGGCCATGGCGAGAACACGAAGAGGAGACGAAAACACAGCTGAACTCAGGGTCGTGGATACGATTTGTTGGGCGCCAAATGTCGTCACGGGTTTGAGAACCGTGAACGAACTGCCTCTAGGCTCCTCGCCACGCCACACAACACAGGACTAGTGCAAATTGTTAGAGTACTTTTCTTCTACTTCATTTCAGTAGGCGACTGGGGAACTCATAAAGAAGAACCAACACTGACAACGAACGACTGACGACTGACACTAATACAAGACTAGACAACAGAATATATTAGATTGAAAGCGTACAACGGGGACAAGACGAGAAAGTGTGTACCACCGGGGACAGAAGACGGTGCAGCCGCATGTACGCAGGAGTCAAAAACAGCGCAGCAGCATGTACCACGACTCAGCAGCATGTACAACAAAGAGACACAAAAGCAGCCACATGTACGACAAAGAGCTACACGTGCAACCGCATGTACAACGAAGAGACACAAGCGCAGCCACATGTACAACATATTTATACTCAATCTGCAGACAGAACGGTTTCGTCCTTTGTGGACTCGTCAGCGCAGCACAGAGGAAACGAGGCCGAACCTGACAGCAATGAAAAATATATTTTCCAAAGCCAGATTTAAACCAGGCCCGATTGTACCTTGCCGGAGTGCTCAAACTGACAAGTCAGTGAGCTCTGCATATTTATATGCGATGTCAAAACAGTTCTGACGATGGGTGACTGGCCTGAAACATCAATAATTTTTCGACGTCACAAATAGAATAATTTTCATCCAGGGCATGTGCGAAGAGTGAATAGCAACTGAATAGAGCGGTTGTCAGTTGACAAACTCCCCTTTATTTACAATGCAGTTGCGTGATGTCCACCACGGTCATTCAGTAATTCCACTCAAACTCGTGGTGGGCACAGCAATTTACTGATTGTCCCAGCCAGCCCAACTGCATATCTTGCCAAACGTGTTACCTATGCTGGGACCATCTTATGGAACCAGCTCCCCGCTGCGGTCAGGCAAGAAAGAAAACGCAATCGCTTTAACCCTTTGTGTACCAGCCCCATCTCGAACCGTAACGTACGTTACGGTTCGACGCACCGCACTGCGCCGCGCCGTTCGGCGGCGTCCTTGCTCCGATCGACTCGCGGTTTTTTGCGCTGGGCAGCTGAGATCCCACTGCAAATTTTGATGTATGATGTGGGTAGGTTGCCATTTGAAAGTATGGCGAACGATCGCGGCGAAAAGTGCGCTTTGCAATTTCAGCGCTCTGCGATATATTTTAGCAATTTCGATCGTGTTTTCGTTCGGTTACGCTGCTTGTATCTGGAATATAGCTTGCTCTAGCTGTTGTCGATGTCTACTAGTGATGGTGAACGCCAGGAGAGAGTTGTAGTAGCGATATAATCTCTGGATCTGAATCGAAAATGAGAATTTCCATCGCTGAAGCCATTGCCGAATTCGCTCTCCAAGCAGCAGCGAGAGGGAGCGCAGCGATGGCCTGAAATAATCAAGGCAGGTGAATTTCCCCACCCATCGACTATTCCTGGTCTTCTCAATCGCCAATACCCTCGCTGGACGCAAGTAGATAAGTGAAAAGTACATATTCAAATCTGACACAATTTCAATAATTTGAAATTTTGATGCAATTGTTTGGCATCTGGTATTCACGCAATATGGCTCTTTTCCGGCCTTTCGCTATTGTTGAAGCATGCAACTGGCGACTATACACTAGTGCAGTGGTCTCCTGTTGCTCTGTGTGAAGAGGGGCAATGTCAGCAAGTATATTCACGATTCCGAGTACACGGATCTAAATTGTCAGGAATATGGACAATTGACTCAGAAATAGGTATTCCAGGTATGGCCTGTATCTGTAGTTGTGTGCTCGGTCAAAATATGTTCTTACCTGGACACATTGATACCAACAGATTCAGAAAAACATAACTTGCACATACAAAATGTGTCTTAGTTTTATGCTATTGGTCCATCATTACCGATGAGTACCCCGCGCATACATTAGATGCCTGGTACACAAAGGGTTAAGTCAATGGCTCTTGCCTTTTTGCTTACCAGATAAATAAGCCTTTTTACAAATACTGTATGCACTGCTCTTTACGTTATTTTCTCCCTATGGAAGTCGCAACTCCTGTTTTGAGTTGTTTTTCTTCTCTCTTTTTCTTTCCCTACTAGTTGCTGTTACGCTCACTGATCCGCTAGGCTTATGCACAGATATACAGCATTCCCTCACTAGTGGGACCATTGTTATTAAGCTAGGGCCTGATTTGGACTTCCCACTCTAAATAAAGAATACAAACAACAACAAACAATATATGAAATATAGACCTCGTAAAAGACATCGGCTTCGCCTAGGTCTTTTACTCATTCTATATTTCATATATTATTGATCAGGCAATAATAGATACGTATATGTGTCATGTATTTATATGAATTTGTGCTGCAGGTGTGAATGGTTGCATAAAAAACAAGCCGGAAGTATACTGTAAGCAATCGAAGAAGGCTCCCCCCCCCCCCCAAGGAGTGAAAAGATTTGTTCCTAGGTACCCAATTTTGTATGCATAGGGCGTCACAATTTTGTTGACAAAATAGTGTCCCTTGTTCACGCAACCACACCAAAGAACTCTCTCTCCCTTCCCTCCCTCCCCCCCCCCCCTCTCTCTCTCTCTGTCACTCTCTCTCTCTCTCTCTCTCTCTCTCTCTCTCTCTCTCTCTCTTTCTCTTTCTCTCTCTCTCTCTCTCTCTCTCTCTCTCTCTCTCTCTCTCTCTCTCTCTCTCTCTCTCTCTCTCTCTCTCTCTCTCTCTCTCTCTCTCTCTCTTCTCTCTCCTTCTCTCTCTCTGTCATGTCCTGGACATGGACCATATGTATATAGTGCGCATGCTCGCACGTTGTTTCGGGGTAAACAAGTTAGTTGTTTACGGTAGGATTATATTCTCACTTGGCCATTGTAGGCAAATTATAAGAACACCGACATCTAAAAGATCCTGCATGAAAGTAGGCAGCTGCGAGATGCGTATCTCGCGCATGCTCTTGCATGGCTACGTAATGCATTACATCATAATACAACATCCCCGTCGTCATAAAGGAGTTTAACAACCTACATAACATACCGTACGTACACGACGGCGTGTTCACAATATAGTACATAACATCCAACAATAGCTCTATGTACAAGGTAACAATCATGAATGGCACACGACGGCGTGCTAACAATACAGAGCCATAGTATCGAACAATAGCTCTATGTACAATATAACAATGGCACCTCGGTTACTGGGACATAAGCGAACAGGTCCATGAGGCCTCTCTGGCCCTACACATCCAGGATTGACCTGGGTGCGACTGCGCGGCCAGACCGTGTTCGATACAGCTGGGTGACAGGTTCAGCAGGCTGGCTGACGTCACACGGTGACGGCGGCTGAGACTGGCTAACGTCGCTCCACGGCGACGGCACGTCACTCGGCGGCTGAGGCTCGCCAATGTCGCTGCGCGTCGACGGCTGAGGGCCTGCGGGACTGGCATCCGGCGGGAAGTGGACCCGCCTCTCTCTGAGGTGGGTACGGTTGCGCCGCACTTCTGTCCCATGGTCAGGCTGCACCATGTATGACCGTGGCCCGTTGGCAGACTGGGTTACGATACCAGGTTCCCACAGGTGCGTGGTCGGGCTGCGGATGCCGACGTGCTGACCAGGAACTAGGGGGCGGAGAGACTGCGCTCGCTGGTAATGGTGTACTTTCTTCTGGTCCTGCCGTTCCTTGAGCTTCTGTCGGATGGCCTCGTCCCGAGTGTCGCGCTGGTGTTTGCGAGGCAGGTTGTCCTGTACCTGACGACCGAACAGCATCTCGGCCGGCGATGGTAAGCCCTGGCACGCTGAGGTGGCGCGAATGCACAGCAGTGCTAAGTGCGGGTCGGTCCCGCTCTCCCTTGCCTTCTCGAGAGCTCTCTTAGCGATCTTGACTTGCGATTCGATAAACCCGTTACTCTGCGGGTGATGTGGCGACGACGTACCGTGGCGGAATCCATATTCGGCAGCAAACCCCGCGAACAGATGGCTGCTGTACTGCGGCCCGTTGTCCGACTTCAGCACGGCTGGGATGCCGTGCTCACCGAAAATCTCCTTGAGATGCTGGATGATGGCCCTGCTGGTCGCTTGTCCGGCAGGCAGCTTCCGGGTGATAAAGTACTTGGAGTAGTAGTCGGCAGCAATGAGGTATTCTGACCCGCCGAGGTAGAACAGGTCCGTGCCTAAGGTGTGCCATGCCCTTGGCGGAATATCGGGCTGCACCAGTGGTTCCTTGGCTTGACTGCTCTGGTGGCGCTGGCACGTCGTGCAAGATGAGACAGTTGCTTCGATATCCTTGTTGATGTCTTTCCAGAAGACGGACGTTCTGGCTCGCAGCTTGGTCTTCTCTATGCCTTGGTGGCTGGCGTGCAGCTTCCTGAGGATTTCCCCCCTCATTGGTGGGGGAATCAGGACGCGACTGCTCTTCAGGATGAGACCGTCCTCGGTGCTCATCTCGTCGCGGAAATTCCAGTACGGGAGCAGAATTGCCGGCACCGCGCTCCTCTCTGATGGCCAGCCACTGAAGATCATCTCCTTCAGTGCTGACATCTCGGCATCTTTAGCCGACTCCTCGCGGATCCTCGTCATCGCCGCATCGCTGAATTGCGGGAACACGGCGTGTACACTGACGTCGAGGTCCTCAATTGGCTCTGTTTCCTCTGGCGACAGTCGGGATAGGGCATCTGCGATCGGATTGTCCTTTCCGGGGCGGTACTTGATGGTCATGTCGTGCGGCTGCAGCTTCAGCAGCATGCGCTGTAGACGCGGCGGGGCTGCGCGGAGGTGCTTGAGCTTGATTGACTCCAGCGGCTTGTGGTCGGATTCTACTGTGAATGACTGACCGAATAGGTAGGTGTGGAATCTTTCACACCCGTATACGACAGCTAAGAGCTCACGCTCAATATTGGTGAAGCGAGACTCCGTCTCGGTAAGCTTCTTGCTGGCGAATGCAACAGGCTTGTCGTCCTGCAGCAGAGTGGCGCCGAGACCTTTCATGGAAGCGTCGACTTGTAGTGTCGTTGCCTTGCCTGGGTCAAAGTAACTGAGCGTTACTTCTGTCGAAATGGCGGCCTTGACCTTGTCGAAGGTGCGCTGGTGGCTGTCTGTCCAGGCGAACAGTGTATCTGGCTTGGTCAGCTCACGCAGGTGCGCAGTCAGCGTACTGGCATTCGGTATGAACAGGCTCATGTACGTGACTAGCCCGAGGAACGTCTGGAGCTCGTCCTCGTTCTCGGGGTGCTCCATCTGCTTCAGCGCTGAGACCTTCTTCTGGTCGGGCTGTATTCCGTCAGTGCTGCAGATGATGCCGAAGAACTTGATCTTGTCCTCTTTGATGCGGCATTTGTCTGGGTTCAACTTGAGACCAGATTGTTCGCAGCGAACCATCATCTGGTGCATGTTGAGATCATGGTCCTCGTCTGACGTCCCGTATGTGACGATGTCGTCTGCGATGCCGGTGACGCCTGAGCACCCTTCGAACGTCTGGTCGATCCTTGCTTGGAAGACATCTTGCGACATCTTGAGGCCGAATGGCATGCGAAGGAATCTGTAGCGCCCGAATGGTGTGTTGAAGGTGGTGAGGTAACTGGATTCGTCGTCGAGCTCCACATTCCAGTACCCACATTTGACGTCGACGATCGAGAACACTTTGGCACCTCTCAACTTCGGGGTGATCTCCTCAATGGTGGAGACCACGTGGTGCTCTCGCAGGATGGCGTGATTGAGGTCCTTGGGGTCTAGGCACAGGCGTAGCTTGCCATTGTCTTCGAGGCGGAACACGAGGCTGTTCACCCACGCTGTTGGTTCGCCTTCCTGGATCTTGTTGATGATGCCGTTCTGGATCATGTCCTCCAGCTCCGTCTTGATCTCGTCTCTCAGTGCGATGGCGTGGAGGTGGCGTGGAGGGTGTACAACTGGGACGACGTTGGGGTCCACCGTGATGTGGTACTTGCCTGGGAATTTCCCAATGCCATCGAAGCACTTCGGGTATTGCTTCATCAGGTCGTCCTTGTCTCGGATGCTCGCTGGCTTCTCCTGGACAGCGCAGTTCAGCGTGACTAACTGCAGGGCTGTCGCTGTCGGGAGACCGATGATAGCAGTGCCAGGGCAGTCCGTGATGTAGAAGTCAGCGAGTTGACTCTTGCCATCGTAAGAGCACGGAATAGGACGGGTTCCGCATTGCTTATCTTGGATCCGCCGTACGCTGTGAGGGTGGTACTTGACGGCTTCACGGACTTCGGCTTTGGGTATCCGTTTGGTCCGACGTGCTGGGGGAACATTTGGCAGAACACTCTGAGCGGCAATATATTGCCCTGGGCGCCCGGATCCACCTTGGCTCTCAAGGTGGCCGGTCTGTTGGTGTTGTCCAGGCTGACATTGAGGGTCGCGAACACCTCTCGCTCTGGTGGCGGTTGGTGACGCTCGACGCTGTTGATGATGACGGCGTCGAAATGCAGTGCGTCGAAGCGTCTCCGTGGGCTGGGGCTCCTCTGGGGGTAGCGCTCCCGCGGGCTGGGTGTTGTGAAATGATGTGTTGTTTTCCTGTGTGATGGCATTCCCCAAACTGTCTTGTCTAGTCCCGTGCATGTGTGATATGAGCATGCGCGATGTTGTAGTCGAGAGTCCTTTTGTCAGTCTTCTTGTTCGTGTCTGTCAGAGCAGTTTGCTTTTCCGTCTTGGAAATATAACATAATGTAACAAACCAGTCTTGTCCTTTGTGTCCTGTGTCCCGGGGAACGGAATGGCTGAGATTCCGTTACAACGTGGTGCCGAAACCCGGGACGCAGAGGATGAGTTAGTTTGTAGTGAGTCTATTCGTCGTCGTCGTCAACAACGAAGTAACTGTTACTTTGAAGTAAGCAGAGCGTGGTAGCGGAGGAGGTGAAGAGCTGGTGGGAGCGGAAGATGGCGCGGAGAGGAGGCAGAGAAGGTGATGGTCTAGAACAGTCACTGTGGACTGGAGCCTGAGACGGCAGGGACCGCGACGGAGCGTGTGGCCGTGGCTCGCCAGAGGACGGTGGGCGAGTCTGGCGTCACCGACTGTGTGTCATCCTTGTTGTTCGTCTTGTTGTGTTGCTCGCTGTGTTGTTCTCTCTCTGTTCAGTTCGTTGCTTGTTGCTGTGTTGTTTCAGTTTGGTTGTTGTCGGTCTGTTGCTCTTCTATTCGTTCTGTTGTTCTCCATTGTTTTTGTTGTAGATTTATTTGGTGCGGCTGTGCGCATGTTATTATTTTGTTTGACTTCGGCTCCCGTGTTTCGGTTGGCCTTGTGTGGCGTGGCCTGGTTGTAGAGCGTCGGCTCTAGGTTTTTGTTTGGCCCTGTTTCGTGGCCCGGATATTATTTCAGAGCATCGGCTCTAGGTTGATGGTTGGTTTTCATTTTTCTGTTCTGCTGTGGCTCCTTTTGCAGTGGTGCATGTGGAAC